CAATCTCGCATGCATTCACTTACTTAAAAAAGTTTAAATCATTGATTCTTATTGTTTATGGAAGATGGAGTGGTAAAATAATTTGCTTACATTTGTAAGCCTGATTAATATTGAAGACAATATATCAGATCTATTGATTGAAGCACCTAATCTCTGTCTCAGTTCATCTGATTATTTCTTTTTTTATTTAATAAATATAAATTTACAAAGTACAACTTTTGCATTGTTGTGGATTTTTCCCCCATAATGTTCCTCCGACCCGCAACCATCCCATCTCCCACTCCCTCTCCCATCCCATTCTTCATCAAGATCATTTTCAATTATCTTTTTTTTTTCATTTTCAATTATCTTTATATACAGAAGATCAACTTAGCATTACTAGTAACGATTTCAACAGACCTGCACCCACATAACCTCACAAAATATAGAGTACTGTTCGACTAGTAGTTTTACCGTTAATTCTCATAGTACAACACATTAAGAACAGAGATCCTTCATGGGAGCAGGTGCACAGTGACTCCCATTGTTGATTTAACAATTGACATTCTTATTTATGATGTCAGTAATCACCCGAGGCTCTTGCCATGAGCTGTAAAGGCTATGGAAGCCCTTGAGTTCACCAACTCTGATCTTATTTAGTCAAGGCCATTATCACAGTGGAAGTTCCTTCCTCCCTTCAGAGAAAGGTGCCTCCTTCTTTGATGGCCCATTTTTTCTGCAGAGATCTCACTCATCGAGATCTTTCATTCAGGTCGTTTTTGCCACAGTGTCTTGGCTTTCCATGCCTATGAGACTTGCCTTTTAGCAAGATCTGAATGCCCCAAGGGTTGATTCCAAGTCTGGAGTGCTGTTTAGGGCATTTGCCATTCTATGAGTCTGCTGTGTGTCCTGCTTTCCCCGCAGGATCATTCTCTCCCTTTTAATTCTATCCTTCGTTATTTGCAAACACTGTTCTTATATGTGAAATCTCTTTGACACTTAACCTATCTTTTTGATCAATTATGTTCTTAAACTGATCACTTTAACAAGTGAGATGGCATTGGAACATGGCTCCTTGATGAGACTGAATTGGAATCCCCTGGCACATTTCTAGCTCTACCATTGTAGGTAAGTCCAAGTGAGCCTGTGCTGAACTGTGTATCTTCTCACTCTCTTATTCCCACTCTTATATTTAACAAAGATCATTTTCAGTTAATTTTAAACACCTAAGAATAATTGTGTATTAATTACAGAGTTCAACCAATGGTATTAAGTACAACAACAACAAAAAAATACTACAAGGAATAAAATAGTAAGTTGTTCCTCAACAGTCAAGACCAGGGCTGCTCTGGTCATTGTTTCTCATAGTGTCCATTTCACTTCACGGGTTTCCTTTTAGGTGCTCAGTTAGCTGTCATCGAGTGATTATTTCTGAATCATTAGTACTTTATTACATTCATGGTGTGGATTCTTTGCTGTAACTCAGACATTTGATCATTGTTGTCAGGTTCCTTACTCATCACCGTTACATCACTTTAATATCCCATAAAACTACTTTGATTTCAGAGCCTTCTATGCCTTTGTTGGTATCTAAAGCCAGACTTCAATGTGAAGACTTTTCTGTCTAGTCCACAGACTTTATCAACTGGACTCATTTTGCTCTAGTCAATGTGCCCCTGGTGCTTTTTTTTTGATAATTGCATTACACAGAAAATTGTGGCTATTCAATTTTTAAAAAGAATATTTGATGGGAGAGTACTTACTTTTCTGTGTTGTAGTAAGAAAAACAAGTTTTTCATGTTTCTACAAGAGCATTTTTAAAATTTCTCACACTTAGAAGATATAAAAATTATATTTTGAAGAAAGTACTTTTTTACATTTTACTTTGTTTATCTTTTAGCTTTAATATTTAACAATTGTAACATTTTTCCATATTCACATCATATATAGACATTATACACACATATACTACTTTTCTTGAAAACAATTACTAATATCACAAAGTGAGAGATTAATGATAATTGAAAGATGAGGAAAGAGGGTAAATTGTCATGTACATGCATGATTTAGTGAAGCAAAATTTATAGCAACATTCCAAATGATGTGGCATCCACCCAATTTTTATACTCTCTATTAGTTCCTACAAATAAGAGAAAACATGTGATATTTGTCTTTCTGGGTCCAGTTTATTTCACTGAGCTTGATGATGTCCAGTTCTACCCATTTCATTGGAATACATTTTGTGCTTTTAATATTGTTTGTTAATGATTTGATAAAGTTAAGATTGAAAAGTCAGTTTTTCAAAATGACAGCATGCACAGTGGCATCTAAAAGATCAAATAATTCTGCTATGCTTGACTTCATTTCCCCTCACAGTGGTTTCTCATCTTGTGAATTGAAAGTTTATTTTAGTTGTTTTGGTGGGGATGAAAAGGACTCAAGAGTATCATGTTGATCTCTTTATGCCTGCATTAGGGAACTATTATGAATTTGCCAACCTTTTATAAAATATTAAAATTACATTTTATGACTTTATGTAATGATGAATACAATCAGGTTGCTTTTCTGAATGTATGCACTTTTTCTTCTAATTAGAACATAAACTAGGCAATTTCCAGGGCTGTTACAAATGTGCTGGGCCTAGCCAATGCCTTCGGTGCCGTGGGAGATGTGGGCTCTGTCCAGTATAAGCAGATGCTTAATGAAAGGTGACCCACACAAGGTATTTAACTGTCTCAATTTAGATGAACCAAAAGGAGAACAAATGCCAATGAAAATCACTAGATTTTTTTTGGCTTAAAAATCAAATCACAAGATTTATTTATCCTCAGTTTTCATGATTTGCCCCAGAGCTTCTTCATAACATTTTTCACTTCTGCATTTCTGAAAGTGTAGATTAAAGGATTCAGCATAGGAGTTACTAAGGAGCAAAACACAGTCACAGCCTTGTCAGTGGGGAAGTTGGTCATGGGTCTCAGGTACAGGTAAGTACAAGGTACAAAGAATAAGATGACAACAGTGATATGAGAGGCACAGGTAGACAGCGCTTTTGACGTCCTACTGAGCTATGAGCCCTCACAGAACGCAGGATGATGACATACGAAGCAACCAGCATAGGGAAACTGAGCAAACATACTGCCCCACTGTTGACAGCAATCAGGGGTCCCAAAGTATCAGTGTCAGTGCAGGCCAGCTGCAAGAGGGGCATGAGATCACATGCAAAATGGTCAATAACGTTGGGGCCACAGAATGGTAACTGGACCATAAACAAAATCTGGATGCTTCCATGCAGAAATCCGATGATCCCAGCCACACTCACCAGGGAAGCACACACAGGTGGGCTCATGATGGTCAGATAGTGCAGGGGCTTACAGATGGCCACATAGCGGTCATAGGCCATGACAATCAATAATACGACCTCAGCTGCAGCAAAGAAATGTACGAAAATACCTGAGTCATGCATCCATTGAAGGAGATGGTGCTCTTCTCAGAAACCAACTCAAAGATCATTTTGGGTGCTGTGGAAGAAGAGTAGAAACCATCTATAATGGACAGATAGGACAGGAAAAAGTACATGGGAGAGCCCAAGGCTGGGCTGACAAAGATGGTGACTGCGATGAGCAGGTTACCTGCCAGTGTGATCAAGTAGATGACTGAAAACACAGCAAATAGGAATTTCTGCAGTTCTGGATTCTGGGTGAGGCCCAGCAAGATGAATTCTGTTACATTGTTCATCCTTTCCCTCAGTTTAGGTTGATTTTGGGTATAGTGTTTGGAAGATAACCACAGTATTTCTCAGTGATAATTTTTTAAAAAGTTTTGCAGACTATATTCCTGTGGAATCCCACTTGGCTAATCTACTGACAACTTAGTTCCTAAAGTTTCTTTCTCTTTTTTTTAATTATTTATTTGAGAATCAGAGCTACACACAGAGAGAAGGAAAAGCAGAGAAAGAGAGAGGATTTCCATCTGCTGGTTCACTCCCCATTTGGCCACAATGGCCAGAGCTGTGCCGATCCGAAGCCAGGAGCCAGGAGCTTCTTCTGGGTCTCCCATGTGGGTGCAAGGGCCCAAGGATGTGGGCCATCTTCTACTGCTTTCCCAGGCCATAGCAGAGAGCTGGATCAGAAGTGGAGCAGCCTGGTCTCAAACCAGCATCCGTATGAGATGCTGGCACTGCAGGTGGCAGCTTTGCCTGCTATGCCACAGTGCTGGCCCCAGTGATAATGTTTTAAAGGTAATATGAAAGTACCTATGACCCCTTTGGTTCTGGTCTCTGAGGTCAGTCGAGCCACACTTCCACTCACTTTTTCAATCTTCAGATAGTTTTAAGAAGCAGAGAAAGGTTGGATTTCTCCTCCTTCGTATTAACTGAATAGTGGCAGCACCTTACAAGTACCTATATTAAAGCAAGTGGTATTATGAATGTGTCCCTGCGTTGACTTGCGAAGTTGTTGGCTCTAAAAAGCCTCCCAGATGGCTCTCTTTTAAATTTTGGGACAATGTTCATCAGCTTTATACTTGTGTTTTGGTCTGAATCTTTATAGATATCTATTTATTCTTTTCAAGGTCATCAGTGTATTAGATATGAAAGTGCCAAGCCTAGATAAGTTTATGCCTGCCTGTTATGTGATCTATGATTCCTTTTTGTAAAATGAATATACATGCACTGAGCAGGGACAGAGCTGTTGTTGCAGTTTTTTCCACTGATATAACAATTGAGCATAAATCACTCAACAGCCCCAGTTTTTCATGTTCATTCTTTCCACATCTGTCCACACAGGCTAATAAATGGTGCAAATTTCCATGAAAAGTGCACAGTACCTCTCAAGTATATTTTCTTTTCAATTCATTACATCAAATATAGAGTTAACCTCTGATTAGATATATTTTCCCTTTCACTTGACAGAAATAGAATTAAATGACACTTGAAATTCCCTGAGTTTTCCATTGATCAGATATAATGGTTAGGATAATATGGCTCTTCCTTTTCGTCTTGCCAATGGGTAGAAGTATTTAATATATATACACATTTTAATAAGGGCATGGATTTTCTAAATGAATACATGTTGTTGTTACAAAGACACATAACAGTTTCTATTCCTTCTCCTCCCTTTCTCCAATATCTTTCAAAAACTATAGCAATATTATTTTCCTCACATTTCTGGCCAAGATTCTAAGTTCAAATCAACAATTTTTTAAACTTCCTTATATGAGACAGACATACAATATTTGTCTTTCTGTGTTGGGTGACTGCATTTCACAACATGTTATGTAGGCTCCAAATATGAAAAATGAAAAGGTTCATTTTTTGACTTGACTGGCTTATGCTGTGCTTAAGTGCCAAGTTACTGCACTGTCCTCCATAAAATGTACAAGTATTACACACTAACTAAAAATTTAAAAACAAAATAATAAAGAAATTCCTGGGCACAGAGATTAGCATCATGACCTCTCTGTTTTAGCAAAGGAGAGGAAATCTTTAGCTTTCAGGACAGCTCAGTGTTGCTTCCTCTGTATTGATAAGTTCTCTAGATGGAGACTATGTGAGTAATCACTCCAAGTAGATTTCATTCATGAATTCTAATACGAATGTGGCAATTTGGAGGCTATGAAAAGGTCAAAGCAATTCCACACTATTGAAAACTGAAATTCATGAAATCAATGTCTTTGGTGAGGCACAAGCATTAATCATAACGTTATAAACACGACGTCAGTAGTTTTAACAGAGTCTGATCTAATAGAATATGGATTGTGTTTCCTATTGGTGTGTGGAATCAAATGACACATGGAGTTATCCTGAGTTTCTTATTTTCAATTTCATACTAATCTGTAAGTCACAAATGTAACTCTAGAAACTAGTTGAGTAAAAGTAAGTAGAATAATTTAAATGAATTTGCTTACATTTGGGAACAAAGATTTACCACTGACCTTGGGTCTAATTCATTGTGGAGTCCTCTGTTTTTCAATGGATTCCAGGCATCAGTTTCTTCCCTCCTGGCATATGCAACACAGTCATCTGACTTGATTGAGAAGTAGGACACTGAAGTTCATATCTCTTTAGACACCTCGTCAGAGTATGGATATCGTTGTTTAGTTCTCATTGTCAACCTGCATTATGCAGAAAATAACCATTTTCATTTTTGAAACTACAATAGCACTAGAATTAATTTCCATGCATTTTCTTGGCAGTATGAGGATATTTGAAGAAGTTCATGGAAAACTGAAGGAAAAACTAAGTTTATATTTGTGTAAAAATGTTGAAATCCATGCATTTGACAGGACTTCATCAAAGTTTATTTTAAGAAAGAGGCATAAAATTCATTTTTCTGTACCAATAGAGACATCTTTTAATTTCATTGCCACCACAAACATTGTGAAGTATAAGCAAGTCTTCAAAACACATGTAATGTTACAGATACTTTAGAGATCCATATGACCAAAATTGAAAACAATGAGAATGTGGCAACCACATTTATTAACAATGTATTACATATTTCAAAATTATTAAAATAGACTTTTTAACCAATCTCACCACCAAAAATATATGATTGTGAGGTTATTATGGATATGAAATCAGATTCATTCTATCCTTTTATAATACATCAGTGGATTACATCAGTGAGAACAATACCAAATTATTCAAAATCAGGATGAGCTAGCTCATGAACCCTAACACTAATTTAATCAAATTCACTCGATTGGACTCAATCAAGTTTGTCAAATTTTTGTTTGCTAAGGAGTTCATGAACAATGTGGCAAGAAAATTCCTTTCATTCTGGTTTGAAATCCTTCTTCCAAGTGTCTCTCTAGAAACAGAGCCCAAGAATTATAACCCCAAATCTTAGGCTTCTTCTTAGAAGACTTTGCTGGTGTCGTTTGCTCACAGGTCCTTCTTAGTCTTGGCTCTTTGAGTTTCCAAAAATGTTTAAGTAGAGTCTCTCAACTGCAGGATTTGGTAATGCACTGACTTCTCAAGTCCTCAGAGAATGAGTAATAGGCTCCTGGGAAACTTTGCCAGAGTGACAGTTAAGGTCCTTTATTTACTCCCACTGGGTACTCAGGAAGATCAATAGAGGCCCGTGTTTGGAGAAACAATTGAGCTTGGGATAGATATGCCTCTGGGTATAATTTAGGAGAGTTCTTGGGTAAGATCATTTGGAAACCATAATTGTAGACCGTTTTTCTCCTTATGACTGACTAATATAGTTTCAGGTTTGGATGGGGTGGCTGTAGGCATAGGTCAGAGTCAGACAATGTTTCTTTATGAAAGCATGGCTGGTTCATGCTTGAGAATGAAAGTGCCAATCTTCAGGGTTGTGTGCCTGATGATGCTGGAAAATTGTGGCATTTTTATCAGTGGTGACCGAGGGGACATAGATAGCAGGAGTCCCACCTACCAAAGATTAGAAACATGAGATATTTTCAAAAAGTGCACAGAAAGTCTGTATTATCAAAAAGTATTCATAGATTTCAATATTTTTACACCAAAAATGACCTTTTTAAATTCAATTATCCATGACCTTTCTGAAATGCCCTTGTTTAAAAGTCATAAACTGTCAATTTCATTCAGTGGGATTTCCTAAAGGACAAATTCTTATTATGTATTCTGGGAATATAAATTTTCCTTCTATCCTTCAGAGACGAAATGCTGATCCTTAGACTTGAACATCATAGTTTCCCACATCAGCCATTGAGAAATCATGTTCAGCCAATCACTACAGACATCTAGTGGTGGAGACTAGAAATACTACAAAAGGAGGCACCGCTACTAGCTTCTCTTCAGTTTTTCAAATGGTGAAGAACTGGCTGCAAATGTGCATGGAATTACCTTTCTTTTTTTAGAGATTTATTTATTTATTTGAAATTCAGATTTACACAGAGAGGAGAGGCAGAGAGACAGAGAGGTCTTCCATCTGCTGGTTCACTCCCCAGTTGGCCTTAGTGGCCAGAGCTGTGCCGATCTGAAGCCAGGAGCCAGGAGCTTCCTTTGGGTCTCCCATACAGATGCAGGGGCCCAAGGACTTGGGCCATCGTCTACTGCTTTCCCAGGCCATAGCAGAGAACTGGACCGGAAGAGGAGCAGCTGGGACTTGAACTGGCACCCATATGGGATGCCAGTGCTTCAGGCCAGGGCCTTAGCCTGCTCTGCCACAGCGCCGACCCCAAGAATTACCTTTCTGGTAATCAACATTTACCTTAGTCATATAGATACTTCTGAAGCCCAGGAGTAGACTAGGGAAGCAACGCCCTTAGCTCCATCCTCAACACTCAACAATGTTTTCCTTCAATGTTGCTGACATAATTCATTGTCCATTACTTTCCCTTGATGTATTTTTATTGTAACAAAACATACATAAAATTTACCATTTAACCACTTTCAGTGTACATGTGAATGATATTAAATGTATTGATTGTATAGTCATGCCCACCAAATGCCTCCAGAACTTTTCCATGTTCCCAAACTGAAATGTCATGGCTATTAAAGAATAGATCCTCACTTCCCACTTCACCAAGAAGCCGAAAAAATTGTAATTCTTTCTGTCTCTATGAATTCAACTTCTCTGCATACTTCCTAACAACATTTGCCCTTTTGTGTCAGGTTTATTTAATTTGTCATAAAGTCCTCAAGGTTCAGTCATGTCGTAGTATGTATCAGAATTTAATTGTTTATTTTAAGACTGGAAAAGTTTCCATTGTTTGTATATATTACATTTTGTTTGTCCACTATTCCTTGGTTTTCTTCAAGCTTGTGAAGCAAATACTGAGCATGACAAATTTTTACAAGTTTTTAAAATGTAAAATCAGCTTTAAGTATAAGACAATATTTGTGTAGCAGATCCAGTTTTCCCAGAACTGTTTATTGAAAAGATCATCCATGCTCCAGGGATTGATTATAGCTCCTTGTCAAAGGTAAGTTGGTTGTAGATGTGTGGATTGATTGCTGAAGTTTCCATTCTGTTCCGTTGGTCTACCTGTCTGTTTTTGTGCCAGTATCAGACTGCTTTGATTATAACTGCCCTGTAGTATGTCTTTAAATCTGGTATTGTGATGCCTCCAGCTTTATTTGTGTTGTATAATGCTGTTTCAGCTATTCAGGAAGTCTTGTGTTTCAACATGAATTTCAGCATAATTTTCTCTAGATCTGTCTGCCATGAATATCAAAGGTATTTTCATTGGGATTGAGCCGAATCTTTACACTGATTTTGGTAGTATGGACATTTTGATGATGTTGATATTTCCAATCCTTGAACATGGAAGATTTTTCCATTTTTTAATGTCTTCAATTTCTTTCT